GAGAACTACGGTTGATCGCGTTCAGTGTACTCATTCACTAATGAGCACCCACATACTTGTATTAGTGTCAACTACACAAATGGTTTGAGACTAACCATCCTCCCAATTGAGCATACATAATATGTGCTAATCTTGACGGTTTATCAATGTCCATTTGATAACCTATGATTAGGAACATTTTGGGATGCTACAGTTAGAGATTAAAGGTCTCCCGAATCTAATCTTCTTTAGATTACTTTATCTCTTGTTTAGCATACCCTGGACATTTGTTTCTTTACACGATGTAAAAGATAACAAATTAAGTTTGCCCTTTATATATCATATATGAAATGTATTCTCAGGAGATTACATCAAATGTATTGGCTCTTAGGGCACATTTCTAACAACTTGGGAGTTAGTTCCTTGACCAAAAGGAAAAAAGGCAGTTGGGTGCAGATGGGTGTTTACTTTGAAGCATAAGGCTGATGGTTCCATTGACCGTTACAAGGCAAGATTGATAGCAAAAGGGTATACTCAGACATATGTGGTGGATTGACTTTTGCTCCAGTAACTAAGCTCAGCACTGTACGCGTACTCTTATCCTTAGCTGCTAATCATGACTGGACGCTGTTACAATTTGATGTCAAGAATGCGTTCCTCCATGGTGACCTCAAAGAAGAAATATACATGGATCCTCCACCGGGTATCCTTGTGACCGCTAAAGAGGGTATGATGTGCAAGCTACTGAAATCATTGTATGAATTAAAGCAGTCTCCAAGAGCTTGGTTCGGGAGGTTTCCTGCATCTATGAGAAAGTCTGGGTATGTACAAAGTAATACAGATCATACTTTGTTTCTGAAACGTCGCAGAGGTAAATTAACAGCTTTAATAATTTATGTTGATGATATGATTGTAACTGGAGATGATCAGGTAGAAATACAGAATCTTCAGAAATATCTTGCGTCTGAATTTAAGATGAAATCATTAGGTGACTTGAAATACTTTCTTGGGATTTAAGTTGCCAGATCTAAGCATGGTATTTTTCTGTCCCAAAGAAAATATGTTTTGGACTTGCTTGCAGAAACTGGAATGTTGGATTGTAATCCCATTGATACTCCTAGTGAACAGAATCACAAGTTGGGGTTGTATCCTGATCAAGCTCCTACTGATAAGAAGTGCTATCAACAGCTTGTGGGAAAATTAATTTATTTGGCTCATACACGTCCAGATATTGCATATGCAGTGAGTGTGGTGAGTTAGTTTATGCACTCACCTAGTGAAGATCATATGGGTGCCGTGACACGTATTTTGAGATACCTCAAAGGGGCTCCTGGCAAGGGGTTAATGTTTTCCAAGTACGGTTATACAGATGTGGAAGGGTACACAGATGCTGATTGGGCAGGTTCAGCTACAGATAGGCGCTCAACATCTGGGTATTTTATGTTTGTGAGTGGCAATCTTGTTATGTGGAGGAGCAAGAAACAAAAGGTGGTGTCTCG